TGCTGGCTGGCCCAACCAGGGTGGAAAAAGACTCACATTTCTGCACAGAATCCACAGCACCCAGCCCAAACTCTGACCAGAGCGGTCCCCGGGGCATCAGGGTCTACCACATCACGAGAGGACTGACACTCACCTCGAACTTTGAAGAAGAGTGAGGTGTTGGCTGATCCAAGAACATTTGTAGCCTCGCAGCGGTAACTGCCAGAGTCCTCAAGGCTCAGTTCCCGGACCTCTAGCTGCAGGGAGTTGGCCATGGCCTTGGCTTGGAGCCGGCCACGAGATGGGAGCTGGGGTCCCAGGCTGGTGGCCAGGAGGCGCTCCCCATGGAACAGGGCCAGCTGGGCAAGGGGGCGACTGTCCACAGTGCAGACAAACACGACCATGTGGCCCTGGTCCACATCCAGCAGGGCCGACAGCTTTGGAGGGTCCGGGGGATCTGCAGGAACAGGGGCAGCTCAGGCCACCCCTGCCCAGCTCACCACGTTTCAGCTGTCATGCTGTGTCCCTCTCCCCTTGCCCACCCTGTCCCACGCCCAGGCCATGCCCTTGTTTCCCCCCATGCCACCCCTCCATCCTCCAAGTCCCCACGCTGCCCTTGCCAGACACACACAGAGGACACTCAGGACCACGGGAGCAGACAGCTGGGCACCAGCCTCAGTGAGGATTCGGCAGGCATAGAGGGCAGCGTCGGTCCTGGCCACAGGCAGCAGTGTCATGGTCTCCAGCGGGCCCTGGGCCCACAGCACCCCATTCCGGAACCAGGAGAAGTTGGCGGGGCTGCCGGCGGCTTCCCGGCTCACGTTGCAGGTCAGGTTGGCCTCTGCGCCCTCCTGCAGCGTGTCCGATGGTGCGGCCACCAGGACTGTGGCTAGAGAGCAGGCAGCACAGGCTCGCCCCCACCCCAGGAGCCTTTCAGCCAGCCTCCCTGCCTGGAAGGATGGGGCGGAGGCCCCCTGGGGTGCCCCAGCAGGTGGGGGAGCAAACTCACAGGGAAGCCTGGGGCAAGCAGGCCCTGAGGAATGTGGGGGTGCTGGGCGGAGGGGGTGCAGTAAGGGGGAAGATGAGACAGCCCAACTGGCTCAGCTGGGGAGCTGTCCTCAGAGATCAGCCCTGCAACCCCAGGCCTGGCCCCTGCCCGAAAACCGAGCATGAGAAAGGGCAGCTTTGGCTTCCCGCACCGTGGAGGGGCAGCGAGGCTCCCAGGGCCCCCACTCCTGCACGGAGGGCAGCTGTGCCTCTTCCCACTGCCAGACAGAGGTGGTTTTGCCCAACAGGACCCTCCTTGGAGCAGAGGAATAGCCTAGAGCTCCAGCCCCTGTCCCCAGGCCACCCATCCCCTGTCCCGACTCACCCTGGGCATTGAAGGTGGCCGCGGCGGAGGCGTTGCCCAGGGTGTTGCTGGCCTCGCAGAGGTACACGCCCTCATCCTCCAGCACTGGGTCTCCAATCTCCACGCGCAGCAAGTTTGGGGCTTTGGTGATCTTCATGCGTGGGGAACAGCCCCCACAGGTGCTGCAACCACCCTCCGATGGCAGGGAAGTGGCCACAACACGGTCGTTGTGGAGCAGCCGCAGCAGGGCTGGGGGGTCGCTGTCCACGCGGCACAAGAGGAGGCCTCGCCGTTCAGCCCCGGCCTCAGCAGCATCGGGGTCCAGCCGGGTGGTGAACGTGGGCCGGCGCGGGGCGTCTATAGGGAGGAATAACATAGGCACTCGTTCCATGGCCACTGCCAGGGCTGCACGGGCAAGGCTCCCAGAACACGCTGGACAAAGCCATGTCCCCAAGCTGTGCACTACACAAGGACAGCAAGGACAAGGTGGGTGGAATTCAGCCCACGCGTCTCAAGCTAAGCTGTGCCCTGGTGCCGACCAGTCTTCCCAGAAGGGACTCCGTTTTCTAGCTGGGATGAAGGTGCTGGATGCGGCCAGCAGCCACCGCACAGCAGTCCCCAAGGTCATGCTCCCTGCTCCCACCCTGCACCCCGCTCCTCACCATCGAGCCTCCCCGGATCCCTCTTGCCCCTCATCTCCGATCTCCAAGCCAGCTCCTGGGATACCAGCTAACTGCCTAAAACGGCCTCTTCCCAGAGGCTTCCAGAGACGGATGACTGAAAGAAAGCCATTGCCAAGGCCCGCACGTGGCTTCGCTCACTAGAAAACCCTGGAGAGGCAGCTGCCCTTCTGATGGTCCCAGGATGTGGCTCCGGCACTCACGTGTCAGGGGAGGCCTTCTGGAATTACTCAGCCCTCAGGCTAACGTGGAACATCCACCCTTCACCGGACGCAGAGGGACTGGTCTGTCCCCGTGCCGGAGGGCTCTGCCTTAGTGTCTGTGGGAGCCCATGAGGGCGCAGGCTGTGGGGCATGTGCACGGATACCGGAGTGTGGGTCCCTGGGCCCACCCAGGAAGACATAGTTTGGACGGGGCACCCACGGTGGGTTTGAGGTGGCGGCAAAGGATGCCAAAGGGCTGGGATTGGTGTGTAGGACACCGGGAGGGAGAGAAGGCCCCAGCCTCGCTCCCAACTTCAGCCCTGGGTGGAGAGGCCCAGGGTGGCCAGTCCTGTGACCACCCTCCTGACGTAGATCTGGGGCAGGACAGGCAGGAGGTGGGGGTGGCTGGTGGGCCCCCGGGGGCTGACCCTCCCCAGGGCAGGCAGGGGCCGGCGGTGAGGCTGCTCACAGAGCACGGTGAGGACGGCAGGCGATGAGGGGTCACTGGCGCTATGGCCGTCCCAGGCCCGGCAGTGGTATGAGCCGGCGTCGCTGCTGGAGGCCGCAGGGAGCAGGAGGCTGCTCTGGGGCCCCTCGAGAAGCAGCGCTCCATTCAGGTACCAGGAGACGCGGGTGTCCGGCGCGGGGCTCAGGCCACTCCTGCAGCTCAGCGTCACCGCCTGCCCCTCCACCACCTCTGCTGCCGGGCTGAGGAGGACGCGGGCCACTGGCAGAGAAGGAGAGGCTGTGAGCACCCCCAACCCTCCATGCCGCCCAGGGCAGGAAGCCCTCCAGGGTTCTCCTCTCCCCGCACGACTATAGTAGGTCTGGGCTTTGTAGTGGATTGAGAGGCCTTGAACACCAGTTCGGATCTCTTGGTAGCAACTGGCTTCACCCCACTTGAAAGGGATTCTGAGCCAGAACCCAGGCTTATGTCAAAAATCTGGCTTGATCAATTATCTGTGTCTACCCTGGCCTCAGGAGGAGGGAAGGGCACTGCATGCACCACAGGTTGGATGACCCTACTGCTCTATTCTACCTCCTGCCTCTGACTCCCAGCACAGAGCCTGCCCCAACGGGTTCGTGCATAACAAACAAACGCCTATGAGACACCCTCCAAGTTTAGAGTCAGAGTATTTGCAAGAGGAATGACGCAGCCTGCTTCATGTTTCCCTTTTTGCCTTGACTCCTGGGAACCTCTGAGGTGGGGATGACTGTGTAGCCCAGGTCTTTGATGTGACCTAGCCAGCTAGTTCAGCCCCTCAGTTGAGTCCACTGGACTTCTAGAAAGGAACAGGCCAGAGCAGGCCTCCTCCTCCAGCTCGCTCCACTCCCCTGGCCACCATGCCCATCTTACCATTGGCACGGAAGTCCAGGGTGGAGGTCGCATTTCCAAGGGAGTTGGTGGCCAAGCACTCGTACTCCCCGCTGTCAGCCGGCTCCAGGTCTCGGATCTCCAGGCGCAGGGAGTTGGGAGCAGAGAAGACCCTGAAGCGTGAGCCGTAGTCACTCTCCCCGAGGGTGGAGGCCAGGATAAGGCCCCCGTGGGACAGCACCAGCGTGGCCTGGGGCTCACTGACCACAGAGCAGTGAAGGATGCCCACAAGCCCTGTCTGCGTCTCCAGGAAGGCAGTCAGGTCCGGGGCGAGGGGAGGGTCTGTGTGGAGGCGAGAGGGGGGCCTGTCACCTGCAGGCAGGGCCACTCCCTGGACAGCCCCTGCACCCCTTTGCCCCACAGTGCCCTGGGAGAGTGGGGAGATCCCAGAAGCTTCTGAGCACCAGCTAAATATACTTCTGTCCCTGGCCGGGCTGGGCAAATCACTCTGTTGTCTCAGTCAAGCCTCGTGGGCACCCTACAGGTGGGATCAGGGGCCCCACTGCAAAGATGAGAACACTGGTGGAGAGACCTGGCTCGGGACAGCACCTTGACCACGGGACAAAGTGAACATCAGCACTGGGACGAGCTGTGTCAGGATGTCAGGATGCACCGAGGTGGACTCGGCAGCACGTCCTGGCCTTCCTGCCCGAAGCGCATGGCCTCGGTCTATTCGAGTGGGACAAATGCATGTTGAGGGACCCCCACAGAACGACCACTTGTACTCTTCAAGTTTCAATGTCAAGAAAGGTAAGAAAAGACTGAGCACCTGTCCCACATTAAAGGAGAACGAAGGTACATGACTGAATGCAATGCATGAGCCCGGATTGGATCCTGGTCCAGAAAAAAAAATGGCTATAAAAGACATTATTGGGTCCATTGGTAAAATTTGAATATAGGCTGTGGATTAGATAATAGTCTGCTATCAATGTGAACTTTCCTTGCTGTGATCATTGCACTGTGGTTATGTAAGAGAATGATCTTACAACACACTGAGGAATTTAGGGGTGGAGAAGCAACATGTTTGCAACTTCAGGAATGTGAAAATGTAGGTAAGCAGATAGATAACATATATGTGCATGTATATATAGAGAGTGGATACGTGTGTGGGTTTTTTTTTTTTTTTTTGAGACAGAGTCTCACTCTGTTGCCCAGGGCGAGTGCTATGGCGTCAGCCTAGCTCACAGCAACCTCCATCTCCTAGGCTCAAGCGATCCTCCTGCCTCAGCCTCCCAAGTAGCTGGGGCTACAGGTGTGCGCCACAATGCCTGGCTAATTTTTCTATTTTTAATAGAGATAGGATCTCACTCTTGCTCAGGCTGGTCTTGAACTCCTGACCCCAAGCGATCCTCCCACCTTGGTCTCTCAGAGAGCTAGGATTACAAGCATGAGCCACTGTGCCTGGCCCTGACCCTCAATTCTTCTGCCTGTGAAATGGGTGTGATAAATAAGAAAACAAAAGAAATAAGTAAACGATGTAGTAAGTTTAAGAAACCATTAGCATGGGCCTGTGTGCAGGTTTACATAGGGAGTAAATATGTGTACACAGATGCACATTACATGTGTACTTATAGTACACATATATATATGTTTTATATATACATGTGTGTTTGTGTATACATGCATGCATATGTATATGTGTGTATAAATAGAGAGAGAGAGAGAAGGATAAAGCAAATGCGCCAGAATGTTAACAAATGGGAAGTCTAGGTTACAGGTATATGACCATTAGACAGGCATGGTGGCACGTGCCTGTAGTCCCAGCTACTGGGGAGGCTGAGGAAAGAGGATCGCTCGAGCCCAGGAGTTTGAGGTTGCAGTGAGCTATGATAGCACCACTGCATGCCAGCCCAGGCAACGGAGCAAGACCTTGTCTCAGAAAAAAATAAAAAAGGTGTATGATCATTCTTTGTACTACTCTTGCAACATTTCATAAGTTTGAACTTACTTCCAAATAAACAGTTTTTTTAAAGTAGGAGGAAACTAAGCCCAGGGAGGCCAAAGCCTTGCCCAAGTGCACGGAGCTGGGATGTGAGCTCAAGTTCACCTGGCTGCAGAGTCCACATCCAGGTCAAGTGACCGTGAAGCTCCCGTGCCCCAACCTATTGCAGGGGCTCCAGTGCCTGGCCCTGCTCTGGCTGATGTCCAGGGCCACCCACCCTGGCCACTTACGGCTGACCACCACGCTGACAGGGCCTGAGCGCTCGCTGCCCTGGGCGTTCCCCACCTCGCAGAGGTAGAAGCCGGTGTCGGCCCTGGTGGCCGAGTGCAGCTGGAGGGTGGGGGAGTGGACATCCTCCAGCAGGACCTGGTTCTTGTACCAGCTGTAGCGGAGATTGCTGGGCGCCTCTTTGGGTGTGCTGCAGACCAATGTCACCGTCTGGTTCTCCACGAGGGGGCCTGCTGGGCTCACCTGGACCTCAGCCACTGCGAGGGCAGCATGGGGCACACTGAGGGGATCCCAGCTAACTCCCAGCCCAGCCCCCCAGAACCCCCAGGGAGCAGCCAGTCAGCCTCAATCTCTGCACACTGCACCGCCCTGCCTCTGCAGCAGAGCCTCCTGCATCTCTCTGTCCTGTTCTCCAGGACCCTCCTGACATCCTACCCTGCAGGGAGGTACTGTCATCTGTCTCACACCCCTGCGTCTCGGGAGGCACCAAGCTACGCCAGCCTCTGCCTCTGTCCTGGCCTGTCTCCCTCAGCCAGTGGCCTGGACCCCTCCCTGCCCTGTGACCACGACCCAGCCTCCCCAGGACTCACTGAGGACGTGGAGGCTGAGGGGGGGTGAGGCTGAAGAACCCACGCCATTCCCAGCTTGGCAGGTGTAGACGCCAGCATCACTCCAGGCTGCCCGGGGCAACTGCAGCACCAGACTCTCGGCTTGGAGTTGCTCCCCATCCTTGAGCCACTTAACGGAACTGACCCTGGGATAGCTGCTGTTCACCTGGCAGGTGAGTGTGACCAGATGACCTGGAAGGATGTTCCGCCCTGAAGGGCTGAGGAAGATCTCCACGCCCCTGGGGGCATCTGTAAGGCACGAGGGGGGTGTAGGGTAAGGCGCGTGGGGAGGGCAGGGGTGGCACATTCTCTCCTCCCTTTCAAAGCTCTGCCCCGAGGAAGCGCTCTCAGATAAAACATCAGTCCCATTCGTCCCCCTGTCCAGGACAAGCCCTGTCCGTCCATCCCCTGTCCCACCACTACCCCTGACACTTTCCTGACCCCTTCCTCCTCCACGGACAGCCTGATCATGTGACGCTGGGCTTAGCGTCCGGTCTGCACTTATCATTTCTGATGCTGCCTGTTCTATTTGGGGGTGAGTTCCACGGACAAGGTCACGGGCACCCCACTGCTGGCTGTAGTGGCCTGTGGTAGCTATTGACAAAGAATCAGCCACCTAATGGGCAGGGGCCATAGGCAGCGTCACATTAACTCCGAGAATAATCACCCAGTTTGTAAGGAAGGGGCCAAAAATACGAAGAAACTGCATCTCTTTAACTCTTGTTCCCAAGCCTCTCTCTGTGCAAATAGGCTAGTTTAATAAAAGCTGGTATTTCCAAGTGTTTACTGTGTGCCAGACACTCTTCTATAAATAACTACCTTACCCGGGTCATCTCCTTTCATTTTCTTTCTTTCTTTTTTTTTTTTTGAGACAGTCTTGCTCTGTCTCCCAGGCTAGAGTGCCATGGCATCATCATGGCTCACAGCAACCTCAAACTCCTGGGCTCAGGCGATCCTCCTACCTCAGCCTCCCGAGTAGCTGGGATTACAGGTGTGCACCACAATGCCTGGCTAATTTTTCTATTTTTAGAGTCTTGCTCTTTTTCAGGCTGGTCTTGACTCCTGACCTCAAGCAGTCCTGCCAACTTGGCTTCCCAGAATGCTAGGGTCACAGGCATGAGCCACCACGCCCGGCCTATCTCCTTTGCCCAAAGTTTACTGGTCTCATGGGTAGCAGAGCCAGCAGCCCAATGCCTGTGAAATGTGGTTGTTCTAGAATGGGCTGACCTGTTTTCCTAAGACAGGAAGATGCATAACCAATGGGAACCTGGGCTTTCTCCACGCTGACCCTCAACCATGCCTGGGTGATGCCCTGGTCACTGTGATCATGAGCAGGCTCATGGCAGGAAAGGGGTGAACCCCGCCTCCCCAGCATCCTCCAGAGCTGGGCTGAATCCCGGGGCACTGTTGCTAACCCCAAAGCTACATGCATGGGAGCTCCTGTTCCCTGACCCTTTGTGTCTCCCTTTCTCTGCCCAGCCTGGCCTCAGGGACGAGCCCCTTCGAAGCCAGCAGGAAGTAGGAGGGAACGAACCATCACACATGGCTCTCTCTCTCCACCTGTCCTGCCCTGGGGACCCAAGCACAGCCCAGCTTTGCTGTCAGGGGCGTGGGCTCTGTTTCTATAGGTAGAGAGGGACTGGTTTCCGTCAGGGAGCCACATATGTGCTCAGTCATGAGGGTTGGCCCCCTGTCACTCACACTGCACTTGGAGGTGAATCTCCTCCTGAGTCCTGTGGTCGGCCACTGAGAGCTGGCAGCGCAGGGTCCGGCCGTGGTCCTGCCAGGACAGGGCCACGCGGAGGGTCTCCATGTGGATGATGCCGGTGGGCTCAAGGTTCTGGAGACTGGAGGTGACAGAGCGAGTGGCGTCCTGGCCTTGCCACTGCAGGCTGATCTGCTCCGGCTGGCACGCGTAGGGCGTGGAGCAGTTGAAGTCCACCTGTGTGCCCTCGAGAAGCTCTGCCGGGTAGGCGATGGTGGGCGCCCTGGGCTTCTCTGAGGACAAAGGCAGGAGAACTTAGGACTCCCCTTGGCCGCACCTGAGACCTCCTGCCCTGGAAACCCCAGCCGAGGGGGAGGAGAGGCAGCTTTCTACCCCAGCCCCACCTGGGCGAATGCAGGGGCAGCAGGCCCAGTCCTCGGCCGAGGCCAGACCCAAGGCTGATACTGGCCGGGGTTTGGGGCAGGGTCGGGGCTGTGAGCCCGTGGAGCCAGGAGCACTTGGGAGTCCCTTCCAGGCAGCAGCCAGGCCACCCCACTCACTCCTCACCTGTCACCGTGACCGAGGTGCCTTTCGTATCTAACCAGCGGTTGCTCTCACTGATCTCAAAGCGGAAGTTGTAGGAGCCGGAGTCCTCGGGCTGCAGGTCCCTCAGCAGCAGGTTGCACACCTTGTGCTCGGGGTGCCCCAACAGCTGGGCGCGGTTGCGGAAGCGCGCCTCCACCAGCTTGGGGTCCCCCGTGTGGACCACGACCTGCCGATTGCCCCAGTAGTCGTAGTACCAGATGGCTGTGATGCCGTCGGGCAGCTGCACGTCGGCAGGGAAGCTGAAGACGCAGGGGATGACCAGGCAAGACCCCTTCACGCCCAGCACTTCCTGGGGGCTGGAGACGCCCCACGAGGCCTGCCCTGGTGGAGGCACAGAGCAGGGCAGAGAGGACGGTGATACAGGCCTGGGGGCACCACAGAACCCTGGGATATACCCCAGGGATGGCGCCCCAGATGGGTCCCCAAGCCCTGCCCTGCCCCCAGCAACCCACCCCTAGAGCAGCCCTCTCAGTGCCTCAGGATGGTCATTGCCCTGGGGTTGCTCAGAGGCCTGGCAGGGCGGCTGCAAGAGGGACCTTCACCTCCTGCCCAGCTCCCTGCTGCTGCCTCCCTGGGCCCCCCCTTGACCTCAGCAGCCAAACCTGTGACCCAGGAAGAGTCCAGTCTGCCCAGGGCTGGACTTACGGAGGCCGGGCCCTGGGAGACAGGCACTAGGCCCGTGAAGCTTACCTGGTGGGAAGACCAAGGCCAGGAGGAGAAGCTGCAGCAGGAAGCCCATAGCAGGGTCTTGAGCTGGTTCTGGTGCCTAAGAGGGTGATGTGCACCAGGCTGGCTGGGGGCCTCCTAAGGACACCTCCAGGCAGTTCAGCCCCAGCACCTGCAGGGAGTCCGAGCCTCTGTCCCCACCTGCTATGGCTGGCCAATCCAGCAAGAGCACAGGGCTCCTAAGGTCCTCTGTGGGGCAGCCACCAGCAGGGAGCCAGGAGCCCAGGTTCCCAGCTTGGGCTGTGCCCAGGAATGCCCTCACTTGCTGGCGTGCCCGAGAAAGCCCTCTGTGTGTCCCTTGGCTCCACCCCTACTTCTGCTTTCCCAGCCCCTCAAGGATACCACCCTAGGGCAGATGAACAGCTGTTTCTCTCTCTTCCCTCCCTTCCCTGCCCTCTCTCCACCACCCAAGCCAACGGGAACTAGAGTCCAGGGACTTGCTCTAAGGCACCCAGATAGAATGGTGATTTCTTACTTGAGACGTGTCTCCCTGCCAGCTGCCTTACCAGCTATAGGCCATAATGGGGCTTAACTGGACTTAGCAAAGTGCTGCCTTTAAGAGTCACTCCCCCTGCTCAGAAACCTTCTGTGGCTCCCCATTGCCCACGAGATGTGAAAAGTCCTCATTTCCTGCCTCTGCTCCCATTCCCTGTTCCCCACAGACCCACTCTGGGGCCAGTCCCGTCTGCCCACAAGCTCCCTAGCGGCCCTACCCTGTCCCCACCACAAATAATCTCTGCCTACTGAAACATTATTCGACCTTCAAGGTGCAGCATGAATTTGGTATCCAACTGGAACTTCCCCTTTGAGGTTCCTGCAGCTACCCCAGAGCTATCTCTGTGCTTGCCTTGTCCTTAGCAGCTTGTGAGCGCTCACGTCTCAGGACCTGGGACTTAGGACATGTGCCCCACAGGAGAGCAGAGTCCCCCAGGCACTCACTAAACCCCTTGCTGGGTAAGAGAGGGGTGTAGTCTTTGGGAGTTCAGAGTTGGGGCGGGAAGGTGGCAGGGTAAGTCTAGGTCTGACAGGCAGTGTGAGGGCCCTGCAGAACACGTACCCCACAAACATGAGTTAAATGTCTACTGCATACCTCCCACGAGTAGGCAGGCTTCCTGCCATGGAGTGCAGGGGACTCTAAGGGACACCATAGATCTGAGTCCAAAAGGGAGAGATGCTAGAAACATGCATAACTAAAACTATATACAACTCTTAGAAGAAAACATAGGTGGAATCCTCATGACCACGGATTAGGCAATGCATTCTTAAGTATGACATTAAAAGCATGGGCAATAAAAGAAAAAATAGATAAGTTGGACTTCATCAAAATTAAAAAGTTTTATGGATCAAAGAACACTATTCAGAAAGCGAAAAAACAGACAGTGAACAGAATGGGAGGAAATATTTGCAAATCCTGTATCTGATAAGGGATTAATATCCAGAATATATAAAGAATTCTTACAACTCAACAGCTAAAAAACAACCCAACTCAAAAAATGGGTAAAAACTTGAGCAGACATTTCTCCAAAGAAGATATACAAATGGCCAATAAGCACCTGAAAAGATGCCCAGTACCATTAGCCATTAGGGAAATGCAATCAGGCCAGGCACAGTGGCTCACGCCTATAATCCCAGCACTGTGGGAGACTGAGGCAGGAGGATTGTTTGAGGCCAAGAGTTTGAGACCAGCCTGGGTGACATAGCAAGACCCTGTGTGTACAAAAACTTTTTGAAAAAATTAACCAGGCATGGTTGTGTGCACCTGAAGTCCTAGCTACTCAAGAGGCTGAGGTAGGAGGATCACTCTGAATCCAGGAGTTTGAGGTTGCAGTGAGCTATGACTGCACCACTGCACTCCAGCCTGGGCAACAGAGCAAGACTTTGTCTCTAAAAGAATAAAAAAGAAAGCAAGAACGAAAAAAAAAATGCAAATCAAAACGACTAGGAGCTACCACTTCACAGCCAATAAGATGGCTATTAATGAACAAACAAAGTAAAACAGAAAGTAACAAATTTTGGTGAGGATGTGGCAAAATCAGAACCCCTTGTACATTGCTGGTGGCGTGTAAAATGGTGTAGCTGCTGTAGAAGACAGTTTGGCCATTCCTCAAAAAGTCAACACAGATAACCAGATGATCCACCAACTCCACTCCTAGGTGTATACCCGAAAGTATGGAAAACAGGGACTCAGACACCACTAATACACCAATGTTCATAGCAGCATTATTCACAAATAGCCAAAAGGTGGAAACAGGCCAAGTGTCCATCAACGAATAAACAGATAAGCAAAATGTGGTCTGTACCTACAGTGGAACGTCAATCAGCCATAAGAAGGAATGAAATTTTGACACATGTTGTAACATGAGTGATCCTCGAAAACATGCTAAGTGACGTCAGCCAGACACAAAGGGGCAAATATTATGTAATTAGGCTTACGAGAAACATCTAGAATATGCACATTCATAGAGACAGAAAGTAGAATAGAGGTTACCAGGGGCTGGGGGAAGGAGGAACAGGGAGTTAATGTTTAATGAAAAAGTTCTGGAAATAGACAGTGGTGATGGTTACACAATATTGTGGATGTACTTAATGCCGCTGGAGTGTATACTTAAAATAAAAAGTTAAAATATTAAATTTTATATTATGTATATTTTACCACACGCACACATGTTGCCAACTTTGCAGTCCTCCCTGGTCCTAAATGCTGACTTGGCGGAGTGAAGGGGGAGCCTGGAAGTGGGGACAGGAAACTCATGACATCTCCCAGCCCCCAGCCCATCTGCCTCCTGGGTTGGGCCCAGCTGCTCTGATGGCTACCAGGGGACACACCTTGGGGGGGGCCGAGCAGAGACCCAGGGCCTGGATGGGGCCTGAGTTGCCTGTCAGGGTGACCAAGCAGGACTTGGCCAAGTGCAGAAGGCAGAAGGGGTGTCCTGGCAGGCAGCACAGGAGGGGCACAGCCGGGACAGGAAGAACGCTGCTCCTCAGCGGAGATGGCCCTCTCGCTGTGTTGCTCGAGCGGACAGGTCTGGTCATTTGGAAGCCCAGTGGCTCGTCCCCAGTTCTCTGGGCAGTGCTGGGCCTGCTTCTCTTCCAGGAAGATGTACCCACAGGCTCCACACCAGGTCCTCAGCCACTGTGGACTGGCCGAGGCTGGGCCCCAGGGCCTGGGCGCCTTGCCTCGAGGACAGGCAGCCTGCTGGGCACATCTGGGGCCGGTATGGCCCCGGGGCCCAGAGCCACACAGGATGTCAGGGACAGCTCCTCTACAGCCAGGGACAGCAGCAAGATACATCTAGGTTGTCCCCAGCTCCCCTCATTTGGGGTCCTGGAAGGGGCAATGCTAAACCTAAAGGACAAACAGTGGGATTGTGGGCATACTGATCCCAGAATGCAGCATATGGAAGGGCTGTTTCTAGAACCACCCCAAATCTCATCATGTAGGTGTCACCTATGCTTAGCCCCGCTCTAAAACCAAAGGGGTCGGTCTCCCCAGAGGCCAGCTTATTGGCTCAGCCTGTTCCACCCAAAGACCAGCCTCAGTCCAGAGAACTGTCCTGGAAAAAGAAAGAGCAGGGACAACTCCAGAAAGGGAGATCCTTGTCCCTGTTCAAAAGTCTGTTGTTGAGAGGATGGTGCCCCTGGGGTGGGTTGGAGCTGGGTGGCCTAGTGAGCACCTAGCGCCCCCTGGTGGTAGACGAGTGATTCCACGGTGTGCAATGGGGGCCACTGAGCTCTGCTGCCCTAAAACAACCCCTCCCTTGGGCAATGACTCTATGGACAGCATTGTCCCCTAGACGGGGAGTTCCAGAAGTTCATCTTGGTGTCTCCAATCTTGGGTGCTCTGAAGACAGGGTTTTAAATTCCCTCCTCCAAGAATTGGCATGTGTTGCGTCAGGGGGATGGGTTGGGTGGCCTGGGACACAGTGGGTGCCCATTTTTGCTGCCTGTTTGACACCAAGTGTCCCAGGACATCTGGGGAGGGTGGGCTGGGGCCCCTGACCTCTGATCCCAGAGGCCAAGTCTGGCTGGGGAAGAAAGGGCAGAAGCAGTGTCCCTGTAGGCAGCTATGTCCAGATTCGGTTTCTGTTTCCTGACACCAGGGCTTCTCCCCAACTTCCCCATCAGAGGGCAGGAAGACGGACACAGGCGATACAGCCAACTCAAGGGTTCTCACCCGTGGATGGGGAGTCAGGGTACAGGCGGGCAATTGCAGGAGAGATTATCTTCAGAACAGTGGAAAGCCCCAAACACAGGCCAGATGTTTAATTCTGAGAGCCACAGCACCCGTAAATAACGTCTATTGGCTTTGACAGGGGCCGTGGAAATTCCACATTTCATTCCTTAATCTGGCTCCTAATGCTCCTAGCTGGAGCGCCCACTCCCTGAGCTGTGCTGGACAGCACTGGGGGTCCCTCACGCAGACGGATGGATGGAGACATGATGAATGGAGTGGGATTGGGGTCAGACCAAGGGGAAGATTAGGACTGGCCTGGGGTCAGGGTAATGGTCAGGTTGGGATTTGGAAGCAAATTAAGGCTTAGATCAGGGTGGATATTGAGGTTGAGGGCTGGGCTGGGGCGTGAAGGCTGGAGCTGGGAGCAGGGGATGAGGACAAGGTCGAGGTGGGCTGGGGTTGGGTTGGGGTCAGGTTGATGGGTCGGTTGGGACAGGGTGAAGATGATGAGTAAGTGGTTGGGGTTGAGCAAGTGAGCCGAGAGGTAGTGAGGTTGGGATAGGGACTCGGGCTGCTAGGACTGGGATTGGGATGCGGGCTGGGAGGATTTGGGGTGGTGGAGGGTTTGGGTTATGAGCACAGCTTTGATTAGTGCCTTGGGCTGGGGTGGTTTGGGGCCAGCACTCGCATCCAGACACCCCCCCCGCAAGTCTCGGCCCAGCCCCACTCCCAACGCCATGCGCACCCTCCAGGCCCCGGGATGGGAGTACCTGCTCCACAGCAGGGAGTGGCCCGTGGACCTGCGGAGAGCAGAGCAGGAAGAAAGTCCAGGAGCTCTCGGCGCA